GCTGTACGCCAGTCCTGGGGTAGAGTAACAGTTTGCACTGATTCCCTAAAAATTACAGTCAGCGACTCGGCTAGCACCCCGACCAGCGGCTGCACTATGGCTGAATGGATTCCATCTAGACTTGCTGACTTCTGCTTGTTCAGCGTCTGCATTTCCCGATGTACATTTGTTTCACAGAGAGCAATTTCAGCAAAGTGACGTATCAGTTGAACTTGTAAATCCGGATTAACCAAGTTGACTGAAGTCCTATAAACGCTTTCGAAGAGTATAAGTAGGGTTTCCGCTTTATAGCGGTTACACGTAACTATGCTTTCATCGGGCAAAGCTGGTGCTCTTACACTCTCCCGTGTGCGTGCGTTGGCTTGCACGTAAGCATAGAAGCTTTTTGGGTTCTGTTTGACGCCTCGCTCTAAGTTGAACTCAAAGTCATATTTGGCACGCCTTTGAAGATTTTGACATCTGTCGCGCGCCTGCTTGTGGTCAATCTACGCTTGTTGAGTGTCACAAAGCCTAAAGTGATCCCAATAGTGTCGGTGAATTTTCATCGCCCTCTCTATCCCGGGTTTTCACCATATTGGTTTATGCCTGGTTCGTCCTTCCCTCAGTGTCGCGAACCTTTCTGTGAGGTTAGTTAACCTTCCTTTAATTACGTTCCGTCTTGCACGATACACTCCGGGGACATCGGGCACTGGTGAATGGTATTTTCAGCCTGTAGTAATTCTGTGACGTTTATGCGACCATAGAGATGCATAAGAGTAGGTCCGTGTCTACGATAGCTAATGATTAGTCTAAAGCGAATAACTGTGTGATCACTTTGCCCAACGGTTCTTCAATATTTAGACTAGTTGTGTCCAAGCAGTACCTTGTGTCAACTAGGTCTGGCAGTGAGGACCTCTGTTGTTCTCGGTCTCTCGTTGCTCTTGTAACATGTTGTGTGAGGCTCTTTCCTGTAGCCACTTCAGAAACCATTCACCTTGAAAACCTGCAGTCGCGCATCCATGTGCTCAGGCTATCTCCGGAAAGTTGAAGTCAACTATCATGAGAAACTTCTGATACCTAACCAGAGTTTCCTGCATAATCCGCAAAAGCTCTTTATCTTCCCAGGGAGTTACAAGAGGGGCATGCTAGACGTATAGTGTGACTAACTGCCTTCTTCCCAGTTGAACACAGCATCCTACTTCTTGGATGTTAGGGTTAGCTAAGACCAGCTGTTTCCCATTGGCTGAGGGAGGAATTAACTAATCTCAGTACACCACCATCCTGTCTCCCGTCTATTCCTTCCTTCCGGTATAGACCGCTGGGACGACAATAACTTGCAATTCCGCAAACCAGGATTCCGTGATACCGATGATTTTAGATCCCTAGGAGCGTGGTGCAATCTCCCTCCATTTTCCTCGGACACTACAAGCACTAGTATACCGGACTTCAATATTGTCCACTTGTAGCTGTTCCAACTGGGGCTCTTTTATACTCTTGGAGTCCTCGGGCGTAGTACCCGAGGGATATCCCCTTTTCTTGCTGTTATGCAACAGCTAGACGCAGTCTCCATCATCCAAGATATGCCAACTTTAAATCTACCCAGTCGACTGACATGGATGACTGCGGCGTGACGTTTTAAGGAACGCTAGGTCCTCGCATCCGGGACTGGTATTTATGCCCAATCCTGGCCGGCGTTTTGGCGTATTCTCTACTACTGTTGTCCAGCTGCGGCCCTCTGACATTTTCGTGTGAGGAAGTTCCCTCAGCTCCGTTCCTGAGATTATCTCTCTCTGATTAAATGGACTTCTGTGCTACATTTTCTGGTTTTGCAGCAGCTACGGGGCTGGAAGCGGTGGTTGTTTCCTTTGCTCCAACCGCTTTCGTTTCGCTTCCCTTCAATTCTCGCCACGGAGTCAATTCAGGTTTAGACGTTGATTTATTATTTGGTGAACCCTTTGGTCCATGTGTGCCCTTTCGTGTGCATATCTGATCTTGAGTTATCGTTGATTTAGTCGCCGCCTTAGCTTTTTGAGACGCTACTACCATTGTAGCTTAAATACTGTATTCTTTACCACCGTACGTCCTGTCCAATGATGGGTGGACAGTTGGATCTACGGAAGGTAGTCCACTTGTCATATCGACGCAACATAGCTTTGTGTAACGGAAATCATGTCTTACGAATCTGTTGTATTCCTAGATGAAGTCAATGAACGTATGAATGACAATAAAAACGTAGAAGTGTGCTACTT